TCTAATTCCTAGGTGATTAATTCCATCAACCAAGGGCTGACATGATGAGTAATGGCATTTAAGTGACCGTTATTCACCTCAAATACTAAGAATAAATAAATAATGCCCATAGCTACAACTTTTTATTCTTCTCAAGGCCCAAGGAAGAGGAAGAAATCACAGCACATGGAAACAACAAAGAAAAATAAATACTAATCAAATGGATAATGAAAGCCTAGACTTCATTCTCCGACCAGACAGAAGGAAAGCAATTGTTTGGGGAACGTAATGTACAGTATTTGTCTACCATACACAGACATGAGTAACTTTGTCATGACTGTGTACTGTAGCTCATCTAAGGATGGCAGACGCTGCTGCTGTCATAACCATGGTTTAGGGCTCCACACAAGGGGGGAAGAAATGTGACTTATTCATGAAGTCTTCAGTTTTGTCTTCTGGGTGGGGGGAATGTACCAATTATCAGAATGAACATAGATGCATCATTTCTGAACTCTTAAAAAACAGTAATACAAATGTATCCTTACAGACAAAAGTCATAAATGAATGAAAATGGCTTTGTACTTGTTGACTTTGAAAAAAAAGATGGAATATTCCAAAATAATTTCAAATAATTATTTATGTGTGGAGATGCGGTTTCCCAGTTCATCCACTTTGATGTATTAGACCAGGGGTCGCCAACCTTTTGGACCTCAGGGACCACCAAACTCATCATTTTAAATCCCGTGGACCAGAGACTCTGAAAAATCCCCCCCAAAAAAGTCTGCAGGAAAATTCCCCAGCCCGTTTTCCTACCAATCGATCGTTCTTTATTTGGGATCACAGGATACCGTCTCCAGCTCCGTTTTCAGGGAGGGAGAGAGAGACTTTTGGCTTCACGCAAGGAAAGCAGCAGAAGCAGCAGAAGTCTTTCTTTCTCTCCCCCAAACTCCACCAAAAATAAGTCTTTGTGTGACTTGTTGTGCCAGTGTAGCCTCTTGGAGCAGGAGGCATTGCACGGTCCCAAAGACTCATTTCTGGCGGAGTTTGGAGGAGAGAAAGAAAGACCTTTGCTGTTTTCCTTGCGCGAAGCCAAAAGCAGAAGAAGAAAGAAGCGGAAAGAAGCAGTCCGGTGGCCAGGCGAGGTGCGTGGGACGAGTGGGGCAAGTTCCTCCCCTCTGCCCTTTCCCCGCTCCCCTCACTACCTTGTGTAGTTCACAATGCAAGCGACGCAAGCCTTGTATTCTCTCGCAGCCTGGATTAATTGCTTTGGGGGGTGCTTTGGGGGGATATTTCTCTGCAGACCACCAAAATGTTCTCACGGACTACCAGTGGTCCCTGGCCCACTGGTTGGTGACCACTGTGTTAGACAAAGTGAATGGTCAGGCTCACATTTATTTCTGGATGGGAGACCAAAATCCAGTAAGATCTTCAGAGAGGTGTATTAGGGTATTTCAGTGTGCATTTAAAGGAGAATCCAATGCACATAATGACTATTTACTCCTTATTTATTTTTTAAAAACTCCCAAATTTAAGCTGTGAAAAAAAATGACATTGGTGAAGGCAACTGTCTCCATCTGTATTGCAGGGAACAAAGCTGGTTTTTGGTTTTTTCCTTCCAACATATATATCCCACAATGCAACTCTTGTGAAATGGTGTATACTATGGATAAAAGGGAAAACTCCTGTGCTTAAACAAAATTATGTAGTTTGCATTACAGCACAGCCAAGATTTGAGTTCAAATTGTCAAATTGAATCAATGCCAGGGTGTAATTTGGTTAATAGACAATTTTGCATATGCAAAAGTGCATTTCATTTTCAAATCAGCATTAAGGCATCTGGCTAGATTCAGAACCTCAGTTTAATTTGATGCCCCAATTTTAAGATTTTATTTCAATTTTCAAAATGGTGAGTCAATCAAATCAAGTTATGAAGGTTCCACACAGCTCTAGTTTGAAGATTGATCATGTGTCATCAAATCATTGTCAACTCTTAGTGACCACATAGATAGCTTTTCTCCATAATTATCTGCCCCTAATCTGATTTTTCAGGTCATTCTCTCCTTTTCTTTCCCAGCATTAGAGCCTTCTTTATGGAGTTAAGTCTTTGCACAATGTGCCCAAAATAGGATAATTTGAGCCCAGTCATTTGTCCCTCAAGTAAGAACTCTGGATTGGTTTGATGATCCGTTAGTTTGTTTTCTTGTCCATGGTACTTTCATGTATTGCTTAAAAATTATCATGCCATAATGCTTCTGTAAACTAAGAGTCAAAAAGAAGTTGACTTACCCTTACTTTTAGTGGATTCTTCAGAAACATATCTTTCATATTGCTTAAATCTATTGGACTACTCTTTTCTCACTGTACATGTATTATCCAAAGCACATCCTCAATATGGGCACACAGCACAGAAACAAGTCCCTAAAGTAACTGCATTAAAAACTATCTCTTTTCCCAAGCACTCGTACTTATGTAGGAGGTGGTTGCAGTTAATCTATGTAAGTGACATTAGTCATCGAAATGAGCATCTGTGAGACTGAGTGCTTACAATTATGAGGTAAAAGTGTCTGCAGGCCAGCTCTGCAAAAGGTGGGAGTTCACAGCTTAGGCAACACAGCTACACAACAACATTACACCATACATGCCAATGTCTTCCAAACTGCAGCCTCAAAGAGGAAGATAACAATCTACTCTTGCATTTTTCCTACTTCATTTGATGGAATGAAGGTATCTATTCAGTGTACAGTGAGTCAGATAAATGACATGGTCCCATCTTTGACTAGACTGCTCGTTTTGCTAAAAACAACCAATTTTGCAGTGATTTCTTAGGCATCCCAACTCTTCAGACAGAAAGCCAAACATCACAGTAGAATGGCAGGTTGTGTTCTCAAATAAAAACAGTAGGAGGAACCAGGATTAATTTAGTCATGTTTAATTGAATCATAGTAGAGCAATTACTTCTCATCTATCTATCTGTGTTTTCCATGCTGTTTCATTCAAAATTATTTTTAAAAAATCAGCAATGTTTGGAGGAACTGTGTAAGATACAGCATAAGCAGTCATGGAACCTCACACGTCTTTCAGATTCTAGAATTTGTGTACTTGAACTTACATGAACAAGATCTTATATCATCAAGGCTACCACTTCTTATCTTCTCTTAGATAAGTAGCTAAGGATGTAATAATTTACTACATTCCTAGATATAATAATAAACTGAATTGAGATTGCTTCAAAGAAGACTTATGTAATACTGTATGAGTTTAAGACTTATATAATACTGACTGAGTTTAGCCTCAGTCACCAACTCATTAGATAGATTTCCATATCAGTTTCTGTTCTAGAAGAAATATTGCAAGAGTTACGCTGTGTTTCATTTAAGGTGGCAGGCTAGAAACCAGGAGACTGTGAGTTTTAGTCCTGCCCTAGGCATGAAGGTCAGAGGTGGTATTCAGCAGGTTCTGACCAGTTCTGAAGAACCAGTAGTGGAAATTTTGAGTAGTTCAGAGAACCGAGAAATACCACCTCTGACTGTCCCCGGCCCCATCTATTCCCTGCCTCCTGAGTCCCAGCTGATTGGCTGGGTCTTCTTTTGTTGCCCTACACAGGAGAATGGAGCTGGAAAGCAGGTTAGTGGAGTGGGGAGGGAATGGGGATTTTGTAGTATCCTTCCTCTGCCATGCCCACCAAGCCATGCCCACCAAGCCATGCCATGCCCACCAAGCCACATCCACAGAACTGGTAGTAATTCTTTTTGAATCCCACCACTTCACAGGAATGTTGTTGTGATTATAGAAAGAGGAAGGAGCATTAAGTATTCACTATTTAGTTATAAAAAATATTGATAGTGGGATTATAGCTAGCTAGGTAGATGATAGACAGACAGACAGACAAACAGACAGACAGACAGACAGACAGACATGCACTTATGAGAATACTTGCCTTGTCACAGCTCTATTCAGTTTAGGAAGAGGAAATTAAAGATACAAGTCAAGTCCCATGCAATAGACTAATTGGCTAATTCTGCATAGAACTAGACAGATGAAGTTCAGAAAGGGGTTTTTATATCAACCGTTTCATCAGCCTACCCCAATATCCTCATCGACACCATAATAATATTTTTTTAATCTTTCAGAGTTGCCACCAGTGCTATTGGCTGACATAATGTATCAGGAGTAATTGGTATAAATACTACCATGTGCACCCAATGGAATTATTTCAGACGTACAAACTCTAAAACACCTGATTGAACTCTACAGTTTATCAATGTACATAATGGGGTTTGCAATTTCAAGTATGTCTTTGTATGCAAACATTTTCTGAGTTTGTGCCTTCTCTACTGCATTCTAGATGGTATTATGATGCTGAAACCAGTGATTTGCTACAAATTATAATCTTTCTAGTAGATTATAATGCATAAACAATAAAAGAAAATGAAAAAACTGGAAGCTGTATTTTACTATGAAGTGTTACTCTTCCTTCAATATTTCTAGCCCAATTTGAAACATCGCAAAATAGATAATAAAACACCTTGCATCCAAGATATTTTATCTCATCTAACTTTCAGAAATCCAAGATACACAGTCTAAGTATAAAATATAAATTTCAGCTGTCATTGAAATTATAGTGCTATTTAACATTTGGATGTACTCAGTATGTGGCATGCACGGGTTGATCTGGTGAAGTCATTTTTTTTATTTTATTTTACTTTCAGTGAAATTTAGGCAAACAGGGAAACACATTGGACTTGCATAAACTGAAACTTAAACTAGAGAACCTTGAATAGCAAGATCATTTTCTGGGCTATTTATCAGAGTTTCTACTAAGACCAGGGACATTTCTGTTTCTGCTGTGATCTCATCATTTTACACCACTTTGTTCAGTCTGGTTAACAAGTGTCCTCAGGGTAATGTTGTTGTTAAGTAGCTTGGTAGTGACAGGAGAAGGGTGGAGATATCTCTGTTGGATCTATTAGCTGAAACCATCAAGGTGAGTTGCTTTTTTTTCTTCCCTCCCTATACTTTAGGAGGAGATGACTCTTAAAGAGAACAGTGATGGGCAAGGCTGGGAGCATAGATATTTGGTGAGTGTCCTGGCATTGCTGCCTAACTGGATATACAAAAACAAGGATATTGCCAAGAGTCTGTTATAAATTTAACTGTCACTTGAACCTTCTGCATAATACTATTTTTTTTTCTTGTTGGCTCTGCACTTGAGGAAAAAAAGCTTGAAATAAGAACAGGTTGAGAAGACAGCTGACTGATATATGGGTTTGCTAGTACGCAGTGGCAAAGCAGATGAACTTCTATCTTTCCTTGAAATTTTTTTTTAATGATGAACACCATATCCTTGGTGACATTTGTAATGATTAGGGAAATGTAATTGATTTGCAGAAAGGAACCTCACTGCCTCCAAGAATTACAGAACCCATGGTATACATAATGACAGGTAAAGATTACATTTCCCAGCTAAGAATTTCAATTATGCGTGCCTTTGAATCAGGTTGGACTAGTCCTGGCAGTTTTTTTGGTGACATTTCAGAAATGGTTTGCTCTTGCCTGTTTCTTAGAGGTAAGGGAGAGTGACTGGCCCAAGGTCTCTTAGCTGGCTTTGTGCCTAAGGTGAGAGTAGAATGCACAGTCTTGTAGTTTCTGGTCTGGCACCTTAAGGGTCAAGACAGGAGTGTCAAAACTTTATTTCATTGAGGGGTGCATCAGGGTTGTTTGATCTGGGGTGGGCGTGGCCACACTGGATGTGGCCAGCTTGACATCTCTTGTGTCAGGGGGCGCATGTGGTGTCCTGAGTGCACTGCCAGCAAAAATAGACTCCCAAGCTCCGTTTTCGGCTGGGACAGCTTCCTGCAACCCTCTGCCAGGGAAAACAGAAGGTCCATTTTCGCTGGAAGAGGCACTGCAGGCTGGTCCTTCACTATTTCCTGGGCAGCTCCGTGGGCCAGATCTAAGCATCCCGCAGGCTGGAACCACCCTGTGGGCATTGAATTTGACACCCCTGGTCTAGGACAATCCACCACAGCCAACTCACCACAGCCAATTTGCTATGGGACAATTCACCATGGCCAACTTGCTGTGGGACAACTTGCCACAGGACAAAAATTACATAATATCGAAGAAATTGTGAAATAGAATAATTAAAGATAGGGTGCAAAAGGAGGGACAAAATGAAATGTGAATGACAAAAATGAAAATACTTTTAAAATAATTAAATAAAAATGTTGAATTGTTCTGCAGCGAGTTTTCCCACAGTGAATTGGCCACTGTGAATTGTCCTGTAGCGAGTTGGTCATGGCAAGCTGGCCATGGTGAATTGGTAGGGGTTAGCTGGTTGCAGCAAGTTGGCCATAGCAAGTTGTCTTATTCCATAATCATTATGCCAAAATCAATTACATTTTAATAGAAGTTTTAATAGAAGCCTTCTCCTGCAGCTTGCAAGTAATAATTGCAGAGTTTGAGCCTAAATTAAGGTTACCTATAAATTGTAATCACAAATACTTAAAAAAATAATATACTAAGCTGCAGTGACAAACTACAACATTAAATAGCTCTATTATATAAATATATCAATAAACTGCATATAATTAAAAAATGCAGTCCTTCTTGAAATACTGAATCAAAGAAATGATTATAGGAAAGCAAAAAAGATAGAGATATCTTCCCTCCTCCCCTCTGAGTAAGTGCCTAACTCTGAATTTACCAGCTTTGGATAATATGATCTTATTGGAAGCAACTGGTTTGTCAATATGTGCCACAGAATCCTGGACTAGATAAGATGCTGCTCCAGTTTAACAGTTCTTATTTGAAATTATAAAATCCATATGGACTCAAAATGTGACAAATGATGCAGAAGAGGACATCTTACAGAATAATAGAGTTGGAAGGAATCTTGAGGGTCTTCTTGTCCAATCCCCTGCCCAAATAGGAGACCCTATGCCATCCTGGACAAATGGCTGTTCTTAAAAACTTCTAGTGATGGTGTCCTTACAATTGTTGGAGGCAAGCTGCTCCCTGATTAATTGTTTTCACTGTCAGGAAATGTCACTTTACTTCTAGGTTGGATCTCTCGTTGATAATTGTCACAAAGGTGCTTTTTCAAGAGGCAACCGGACTTTCTGGTTCTTTGAAGATGTTTTGTTCCTCATCCAAGAAGCTTCTTCAGCTCTCTGTCTGAGAATCTCCATAGACACTCTTATTGATAAGTTTCTATTCATTACTTCTTGTCCTGCTCTTAGTTGCTTTGGAGAAGTGGTTGACCCCCTTTTTTCTGTTACAGCTCTGGAAGACCACTGTCATGTCACCCCTAGTCCTTCTTTTCATTATATCATTAAACATATCTAGTTCCTGCAACTGTTCATCATATATTTTAGCCTCCAGTCATTTTCGTTGCTGTTCTCTGCATTCTTTCTAGAGTCACAACATCTTTTTTGAATCATGGTGACAAACCCTGGACCCAGTATTCCAAAATGTGCTCATACCAAAGCTAATACTTCCTGTGATCTTGATGATATGCCTTTTTTAATGCAGCCTAGGAGTGTATTGGGGTTTTTTTTTTTTTTTGGTGTATGGTGGTGGGGAGCTGCAGCACCCAGCTGGCTCATACTTAAGTGGTTGTTCACTAGGACTCCTGGATCCCTCCCACAGTTACTGCTGTGTCACCTATTCTATACCTGTGCATTTGGTAACAATTTTTTCTCCTAAAACAGTATAATAATAATCAAGCAATGGTCAACAAGCAGAAATGGAAATCTGAAGGTCTTGGAGAAGAAGGACTTGGAAATACAAAGAAGAGGTGGTCCTTGATTTATTGTTATAATAGAACCTGAAATCATTGTTGTAAGTTGTGAAAATTGGATCATCCATGTGGTTGACCTGATTTTATGATCTTTTTTTTGCAGCAGTCATTAAACAAACAGTATAGTCATTAAGTGAACCAGTGATTCACTATGGGCTGGTTTTGCCAAAAAACAAAGCAACTGCTGGTTTTTGGCAAAAAAAAATGTAATAAAACCCAGCCACTTACTTACTGTGGGATACTGCAAACAACTGTAAATGCAGGTAGGCTGCTGAGAAATGGAGAGGTGGATATTGGAACTTGAGAACCAGGCTGTAAGTATACCAGGGAGGTCCACCATAACTTCAAACAGACACTAAATGACCAGTCGTACGTTAAGAATTAACAATAGCAATAACAATACCATGTAGGCTATTTACTATATACTATTTATAAACTACCCATAGTGTTTTATAGCATTCTCTGGGCAGTTTTACAATGTCAGCATTATTTGCATATTGCGCCCCAAAATCTGGGTCCTCGTTTTATCAATCTCAGAAGGATGGATGGCTGAGCAACCTTGAGCCCCATCAGGATTGAATTCCATGCTGTGGAATTTGCCTGCAATACTGCATTTCACCACTGTGCCATCACATTATCTGTAATGTTTCTGAGCAAAAGCATACTGGCTAGAACACTGAAACAGAAGTACTTCGTAATATTTTAATAAGTACTTTATAATATATTACTTTGTAATATTGCAAGGCATTTATTATTATAAAATTTAGTCATATGCCGTATAAATATTATTAAAAATGTGATGTATTAGAAATAGCAGATGTCCATGGATGCTGAACACTGATTATAAATTTTAATCAATCTGCTGCTATCCAAAACACCAAAGAAAGAATGTAAAAATGTATAGAAAATCTGTTTTAGTTCTTGGACCTATATCATCAGCTCTCTGAAGAACAGGCATTCAGAGAGATAGCTGGCTCTGAAAAGATCTAAACTCAGTACTGGTGAAAAATTACTGGTTGAAAGAATACAGCAGAAAAATGCCTTCATTTATTCAACAATCAGGAGACCCATCATGCAATAATACCATTGGTCTGACAACAGACTCTGTCATGGCCTCTTAATATTACATTGTCTTATTAAAAATCAGACTTGATGAAAATTCTACTGTATGCACAATATTAAAACTATTCTTGACATATCTTAGCAGTGTCTTTTTTAAAAAAAGAAATTCAGGTTGCTTATTAAGGTCAATGCCTCAACAACTTGCTAAGAAACATAAACATTTCCAAAAGCTCTCTCAGATTACAAGAGAGAGAAAAATGAACAAATTAAAAAGCAGCTTTGATTTCACTCTATTGAGAATGCTTTACATCTGATGATACAGCTTTTCAGAAACTGACCATTTCAGAATACCAAGGCCATTCTAGAGCAGATGATATAGTCATTAGAATGGATTTGTTAACAAACGTTATTTTCATTTTTGACTGAGAACTTCCTTGGTAATTGGAGGAAGGCTTTGGATATTAAATAACTTTCCCATTTGAGAAAATATCTCATGACATTCTGATTAGCAAATTAATTAAGTATGGTCTAGACCTGTGAAGGCGAACCTATGGCACAGGTGCCACAGGTGGCATGCAGAGTCATTTGTGCAGGCACGTGAGTCCCAGACAAAATTACCTGCATTGCACATGCGCGCAACTCCCAGCTGATTTGCGGCCTGTTTTAGGCCTTTTTTGCCCTCCTGGAGGCTTGAAGCAAGCCTCTGAAGCTTTTGGAAACCCATTTTTGGAAAAACCCATTTTTCAACCTCTAAAGGCTGGAGAGGCTTCCCGCGAGCTCCTAGGAGGGCGAAAACGGCCTCCCCTGGGCTCCAGAGGCTCTCCGGAGGCTGAAAATGGGCACTTCCAGTATTTCCGGAAAGCCCATTTTTCAGCCTCCTGAGGCTGCAGAGGCTTCCCTCGAGCCTCCGGGAGGGCGAAGAAGGCCTCAAATGGGCCAAAATCAGCTGGCAGGCATGAGCATGCACAGTGCAGGTAAGGGGGTGGGGGGTTGCACATGCATGCGTAGGGGGTGGGGCACATTGCATTGTGGGTGCTGGCAAGCATGTGCACGCACTATTGTGCGCATGCGCATTTTCAGCACATCACAACAAAAAGGATTGCCATCACTGGTCTAGACCAGCGGTCGCCAACCGGTGGGCCACGGCCCACTGGTGGGCTGTGAGAAAATTTTGGTGGGCCGCAGGGAAGTCTCACCCCCAGAGCACCCCCACAAAGCAATTAATCCAGGCTGTGCAGAAACACAAGGCTGCGCTGCCCACATGGCCCTTGGGAACCCTCCCCACCCACTCACTCCTTACCTGGTAAACTTGCCTGCTAAATTGCTATTTTTCCTTTTTCTGACCGTCATCTGTTCTGCTGTGCCGGGAGATTTAGATTAGCTAGGAAGCAGAAAATGGTTGCATTTTTTGCTTTCTAGCTAGTCTTTAGATCTTCGGCTCAGCGCAGCCGAACCTCCCTTAGGACTGAAGTTTTGCTTGCAAGCAAATTCAGTGCAGACTCATGGCAAGCAAATTTCAGAGACTAAGCTAGCTGATGGCAGATAGATAGATCACTGGATGATTCTGTGAGCAACTCAATCTGCCTGCTTTGCTTGATTTTGGGTAAAAGTTACTCTTTTTAATAAAAAATTCAATATTTACATGCATGGTGTGTTGTGAGTTAATTTTATGAGTTTGCTTGCAAGCAAATTTTATGTGACAGACTGAGCTAGCCAATGGCAGATAGATAGATCTCTGAATGAATCTGTAACTCTGTGAGCAACTCAATCTGACTGCTTGCTTTGCCTGATTTGGGGTAAAAGTTGCTCTTTTTTAATAAAAAATTCAATATTTATATAAATATTTATAAAATTTACATACAAGCCATGCCCACCCAGTCACATGACCAAGCCACACCCACAAATTTGGCCATGCCCACGGAACTGGTTAGTGGTCCCTGGGATCTAAAATTATGAGTTTGGTGGTCCCTGAGATCCAAAAGGTTGGCAACCCCTGGTCTAGATGGTCTAACTATTTGCTGGTTTTTAAAGCTGGCTTGAAAACTGTTTTCAATCATCAGCGGTTTCTCATTAAATTGGAATAAGTTGTCAAATGAGCAGCTACAATGTTTGGCCATGGGTGCTGTTTATTTTAACATTTTCATTAAGTACTTGGAGGGAGAAAAATGCTTGAAAGCATTAATTGCTTTTTTCATTGCTTAATTTCATTAAAGTTTGCCAATGGCATAACTTTGAGTGATATAGCTGATACCATAGAAGTCCGAAATAAAACATCAAAGTGAACTTGAGAGATTAGAGAGAGAGGTAGAAAAAATGTTAATTTATAAAAACAGAAAATAAAATGCCTGGACACAGGATAGCAATAGCAATAGCACTTAGACGTATACTGCTTTACAGTGCTTTACAACCATCTCTAAGCAGTTTATACAGTCAGCATTAGAGGTGATATTCAGCAGGTTCTGACCAGTTCTGGAGAACCGGTAGCAGAAATTTTGAATAGTTCGGAGAACTGGCAAACACCACCTATGGTGGCCCCGCCCCCGTCTATTCTCTGCCTCCTGAGTCCCAGCTGATCAGCTGGGTCTTATTTTGTTGTCCTGCACAGGAGAATGGACTGGAAAAGCAGGCTAGTGGGCTGGAGAGGGAATGGGATTTTGCGGTAACCTTCCCCCAGGAATGGGGAGGAGATGGAGATTTTACAGTATCCTTCCTCTGCCGCACCCAATAAGCCACACCCACCAAGCCACGCCCACAGAACTGGTAGTAAAATTTTTGGAATCCCACCACTGGTCAGCATATTGCCCCAAACAATTTTGGTCCTCATTTTATCCACTTTGGAAGGATGGAAGGCTGAGTCGACCATGAGCTTGGCGAGATTTGATGGAGAAACTTGAAAATTTTGGATTTAACTGATTATAATCTGAATAAGAATCAGCATGGTAACATGGCCATTAAAAAGGCAAATACAGTTTTATGCTGCATCAGTTATAGTAAGCTGCTTATCTCCCAGGCTGTTCATGCTGTTTCTTAAACCCGTTTCAGAAATTCTACTCTGGATTGCAGTGGGTTGCATATAGACCTGGACTGAAGTACAATCTCAACCATGCCCACTGCAAGATCTGACTCACGTCCCTCCTATTGCTAGGGATCCCATCAGGGGTGGGATCTGACAGGGTTAACTACCAGTTTGGTCATTTATGAGGTTCGGTGATTTATGATGTGCTTCCCTGCACGCTGCTGGTGCGTGCCTGGAAATCTTCATCAGCACGCTGCGTGCAGAGAAGCAGCCTTTCAAAAAGCTCTTTTTTCCTGCTTTTTTAACTGCAGCTGTGCCTCGCAGGGCAGTTGAAGTTGAAAAAATCAGGAAATAAAGGTCAGATAAGAGCCCAGGTGGGCGGGTGGGGAAAAACATCAGCAGACATAGAACTGATTCTATGTCTGCTGCTCTTCAGAGCTACCGGTTCTACAGAGGTGGACAGAACTGGTAGAAACCCATCCTTGGTCCTCATCCATGCAGAGCTGGCTCCTCTGTGAACTGGTATACCTGTGCTTGTCTTTTACTTTTAGGGATTGTTCCTTTTCACTAGTTTCTGTGCCTTTCTTTTTCTTTGCACATATGAATACACTAGTCCTTCACTCTTCCTTCTCACCCTTCCTTGCCAAATAAACAGATAGCAGCTGTGGGGAGGAGGGTTTTTGCAAAGGTTCATCTTGCCCACCAGTTAGGTCTTTTACCCAACACAGAGGTCCCTCAAATGGTCACTTATGCTCTGTTCACTGGCAACTGGACTATTGCAATGTGCTCTACATGGTTCTACCCTTGAAGACCATCCAGAAGCTACAGCTGGTCCAAAATGGGACTTCTCTAAAGTGCTTAAACCGGCTTGGGTTAGAAAACAGTAGTTTTGAATTCAAAACAGTAGGAGTTCAATTTAATTCAAAACAGTAGTTTTGAATTCAATGTGGAAAATGCAGGTGCACGGTGCATTTTTTCATTAACCTGGGAATGTGTGTGTATGAGTGTGTGTGTTGTGGGAGGGGGACAGCAATATTCTGCATTCCAGGATTGGGGAAGCATTGATTGACTCACACTGGCAATGGGCCAGATAGAAAATTCAGACCTGCCAGTTTCCAAATAATTGATAGCTTTTTAAGAAAGGCTCAGAAAAATTGAGACAGATTTTTTAAAAAAAGCAATGGGGAAGACAAGAAATATACATATACATATACATACACACACACATAAATAGTATATTTAACACAGAAAACCTGACTGAGCAAACCACTATGTGCACATATCACTATTTTCTCAGTTACTAACTCTAACCCCAACTTTTTACTTTTTTTTACATATCAGTGCCACAAGATGGACATCATACATCTCTCATTTCTTCACATTAATTTTATACGAAAGACATTTTGTATTCTGAGCCATAGGCTCTGGACTTTCATTATACAGACACTTAATAACTAAAT